AGGAAGGAAGGAAGGAAGGAAGGAAGGAAGGAAGGAAGGAAGGAAGGAAGGAAGGAAGAGAAAGAAGAAAGAAAGAAAGAAAGAAAGAAAGAAAGAAAGAAAGAAAGAAAGAAAGAAAGAAAGAAAGAAAGAAAGAAAGAAAGAAAAAGGGGAATGTTCTCCTTAAACATTCTCCTATTGGTAGACATTCTTATTGTCTTCATATTTTTGCTATTATGATGTCACAATGAATTTGGTAGATATTTCTCTGAGAACAAAGCCTTTTGTTAGTTAAACTTTGAAAACTATCACATTTGTTCTCTAAATATTTTGAGAAGAGTATCCAAAATGCCTTCTATGACTATCAAGACATCCATCCTCACTGTGTAGAGGCTTCCCTTAACTTCACCTGTTCTCTAGCATCCATTTTCTTTTTAATGTCCATTTTATTAACAACTATAGAGAATAATCCCATTGTAACTTTGACTTACAATTTTGAAAATTTACCCTTGGTCATCTGTATATTTTCTTTTGAAAAATGTTTATAACAATACTCTAACAATTATAACACCAGTTTATTTGTAGATATTCCACATACTTTTTGGTCATTGAGTTCCCATTCTTTGTATAGAGTAGTGTGTGGACTGCCCTGCTTTGTCAAACCTCTTAGATGGGTTCAAGCAGATGTTTCTGTTTTCTTTCTGTTGCTTGTGCTTTTGAAGCCACATCCAATCATTTATGAGAATAAGAAAAGAATCTTTTCCACTATGTATTCCTTTTTGTTACTAGTTCTTAGCAAACTTCATATAATATATTTGGATGAAATTAATGTCTGTCCCCATCTCTTATCATACTTCCCCACATGATGTCCAACAAACTTGTGTCATCTTTTTTTCCTTAAACTAGTCTAGTCCAATTTAGGATGCCTATATCCTCTAGGAAGGATAATCATCACTTGGAGTGTGGTTGTCCTCTTCAGGGCCACAAGCTCATCAAAGCTGACTCCTCACATACTGTCAGATATCAAATGGTAACAGCTCCTTAGCTAAAGCAGAAATTCATAAACACCTCCCAACTCCATGTTGGGACTTTATCTGGCTTGAGCTTGCATAGGTCTTGTGCACACACTCTACTTCTGTGAGTTCATACAAATAACTGCCTTCTGTGTCTGGAAAACATTGTTTACTTGTAGTCATGCACTGCCAGCAATTTTAACTGATCTATCCCTACCACCAGTGTGTGTGTGTGTGTGTGTGTGTGTGTGTGTGTGTGTGTGTGTGTGTGTGTGTGTCCTTTTTAGGACTGAGGATTTCTGAGTCTCATTCTGTGCATTTTGACTAGTTTTGGACCTCAGTGTTAATCATCATCCACCACAGCAATGCTTGGCTCTGATCAAAGTTGAGAGGTGTACTAATCTATGAGTATAACAATACCATTGGGAGTTTGCTTGCTGCCAAGACAAAATAACAGATTCCTACTAGTAGGTTCTAGCTACAGGCTCAGGAGCCTAGGAATGGTGCCATGTATGGGTTGCATCTTTTGAAATGGAACTTAGAGTCAATCAGAAAGGAGTTTATTAAACACATGGTCTTCATGTCTTTATTACAGCTGTGCACATATATTGACAGACCAGTCATTTTTTTAACCTCATAAAGTTCACAATTGCTTAAAACTGATAACATATTTTATCTTCCAGTAGTGTCCATACAACTTACAGTGCTAAGAAAGCTACAAAATAGGTATGAAGCTTCCATGTAAGTACAAGCTTGATTTCTCCATGTTCTATTACTTAACTATATCTTCAGCAACTGTGAGGTTCTGGAAGTAAACAATAACATTGGCAATAGTCAGTAATATCTGGAGGTCCATTGGACCCCACAAGAATTCCAAAAGAGGTAACCCATTCCAGGCAATAGGATTTTCATTTGTTAGCCTGTGATGTCTACTATGGGTATTGTTGGCCCATTATAGGATAACTCCATTTTGAATATGTGTGTGTGAGTGTGTGTGTAAATATAAAAGCTTGTATATATAAAATGCATATGTGTGTAATATATAAAATATGAATATAAATATACATGTATAATATATGGAATATATATATATATATATATATATATATAAGCTTATACAGCAGCAAACCGCATTCCATATCACATATATCACATTCCTGTAGGGTCTTCTTTTACTGTATTCCATCCACCAACCTTAGTAACTCTTCCTGTTCCATTATAACTTACCTGTAGACACCCCAGCAGTTAACTTCAACTCCCTTGAGAGCACCCCCCTACAGACATATGCACATTGTCTCTTACTAATATCTTGACATTTACAAAGCTCTATTAATAAACAGCAGGATACAGACATTAAAAATAGATGCATTGATCAATGTTATCTGATAAATTATAATACATGAACTTAGTGCCACAGGAAAGCACTTTTGAAAAAGAACTACAATAAGTCAGAGCTTAAGAGCGACAGCATATAAATAGGGCCTCATAAAACTGAAAAGCTCTGTACAGCAAAGAACACCATCATTCAAGTAAAGAGAGGCCCTAAATTATGGGGAAAGCTTAGCTTGTATACATCGAAGAGAAGGTTAATATCTAGAATACACAAAGACCTCAAAAACATAACATCAAGAAAAAAATACCAAAATTATTAAGGAGATATGGAACTAAACAGGTGCCTCTCAAGTGACGCAATAAAAAAAATTGAGAAATATTTTAAAAAATATTCAGCATCAATAGACTTCAGGGAAATAAAAATCAAAATTACTTTGGAATGTCTTCTTACCTCAGTCAGAATGGCTAAGATGAAAAGCACAACTGACCAAAAACACTGGTGTAGATTTGGAGAAAGGGAAACATTTGTTTGTAGCTGGTGAGGGTACAAACTGGTGTGCCACTGTGGAAATAAATGTGGAGATTATTTTTCAAAACACATTAAAAAAAAACCCTAGAAATAGGTCTACTACATAATCCAGATATACCATGCTTGAACATGAGCACAAAGCTCTCTGTATCATAGTATACTTGCTTATCCATGATCATTGTTGCTCTATTCAATATATCCAGGAAACAGAGATAGCCTTGCTGTCCATCTACAGATAAATTTGTATTAAAACTGTGTTATATTTACACAAAGGGACGTGGTCCAACTGTTAAGAAGAGTGAAATTGTGAAAATTACAGGTGAATGGATAAAGCAGGAGCAATGAGTTAATTCAGACCTGAAAGCCAAATGTCACATATTTTGTGAATTTTAGCTATAATTCTTCAAATATGTATTCCTTTTGCTGTACCCCATGTAATATTATAGTAATTCTGTGGATTCAGGTCCTGTATACTTTTATTTCATGTATGGTTTCAGATACAGGCACTTTCTTGATATCTCGATATACAAAACTGGTTTTATTACATAATGATCAAGACTCTACCACTGACAGTATTTGTGTGTCCCAAGAATTTCATGTTGGACACTCTAAAATCAGAGGGAAATTTTCTCATGAAATTGTTCAGTAGCTACATTTACCATGAAGCCACCTCATTTACATAGATTTGTCTCTTTGTCAAACTCCCTGAATTAATGGTTAGTTACATGTATTTTATTTTAGATAAACATATATTTTGGTAAATATGTGAAAAGTTCAAGCTTTAAACCTTTCAGTAATGGTTTGTCACCTTTCATACCAATATTCCCTCTATCAGCTATAAACTGAGACAAAGTACGGATGGCTTCTCTGGTCTCCTAAGGAGTCTATACAGTTTCTTATTTCATTTTTGCTTTAATTTTTTGAGGGAACTATAGAGGGAGTTCTATCTAAATTTTGTACATGGTGTGTATGCATAATCTGAAGCATATTCTGGCAACTGTCCATAGATCATCTGTGGGTGCATATGTGTATGTGCATATGTGCATATATATATATATTCATACATATATGTGTATATATGTATGTATACATGTATACACACATATAAATATATATGTGTGTGTGTGTATATACATATATATATGTGTGTGTGTGTGTGTGTGTGTGTGTGTGTGTGTGTGTGTATTTCTGACATGTCTGTATGTGCTGTAAACACTTGGGTGTTTGAGTAGATGACTGGATATGTGTAGTTGCTAAATGACCATATTGTGCCATGATCTTTACTTTGTATACCTACTTTATTCCCACAAGATAGGGTCTCTCATGGGACAGTGCAAGGGTGACAATCACTAAGTAAAACTCACAAAGTTACATATCTCTGCTTTCTCTGAAAAGCTCATGTGACCATTATTTCAAGAGAAGTTTATAAATATTGACTTTAGTTCACCCAAAAAAAACACCATGTCTTTCATTGTTATACCTTCAAGACCTTCACATGGGCCCTCTAAGGGAAACACATAGTACCTACAGTTTATGCACATTAAATGGTCTTGTATTTTTGGCTGATTTTAAAGCAACATGTAATAAAAATAAAGTGCTTAGAAATAAATCCAAATACATTAATATAAGATGGCACCTGTCCACCAAGTAGCAAATAACATAAGCAATACTTAGCTGATAGTTCATGAGAAAGACTCAAGAAACATATTCCTCCAGGTAAGAGTCTTTCCAAAATAACAACATAGAAGGGAAAAAACTGATCTTTCTATGGGGTAATGAAAACTCAACATATGCAAAAAGGAGAAAATTATGTAATGATTTATATCATGTGATAGAATCCTGTGCTGTTCCATTAAGCTATGTGAAGAATGGCTTAGAGACCTGAAAATTACATCAGATTCTATATTTGACTATGGGACCTGAGGTACAAGCATAATTACCTCAGTTATGCAGCCTTGTGTTCCCAGTAAATCCAGGAACTCATGATGTTTTCTGAAGCACAGTGCAGAGATGCGTGATGCTGCAATGCCTGTGGTTTTCCCCAACAACAACCCAGCTGTATAAAAGGCCCTTGGCAGATGGTGATACCCAGACTCAAGAAACCTACTGCTCATCGTTCTCTGAAGAGTCCACTCACTCCTGACACCATGTGTTACTATGGAGGATACTATGGAGGCCTGGGCTACGGCTATGGTGGCCTAGGCTATGGCTATGGTGGCTATGGTGGCTATGGTAGCTATGGTGGCTATGGTGGCTATGGTTATGGCTGCTGCCGCCCACTGTGCTGTAGAAGGTACTGGTCCTGTGGATTCTACTGAGGAGATTCTGTAGCTGCTCACTCTTTCTTCACTTCAGAGGTTCTTAAATCTCATAAATTCCAACCTTTATTCAAACTATCTGAGGAATAATAAATGAAACACAACATGGCCACCTATTCTTCTTCTTTAATTTGATTGCATGAGTATTTGCAGCAATGATCCTCATTGTCATCATAATGTCTTGTAAAATGTGATCTGTTTGTATCCTTCCCCATTTTATAAAAAGATATGCTTTTAAATAAAGTATTTCCTTGAAAATACTTTTGCTAAATGTGAGATGCCTTTTTGTGTATTTTTACCTGTTTGGTTACTATTGTGTTATTGTATATAAATGTAAGAAGTAAAGGATAGAAAGGAAGAGCAAATTATAGAGAGAGAGAGAAAGAAAAAGTTAGTGGGAGGGAGAGAGAGAGAGAGACAGAGAATAAGGAGGAAGGAAGAAGGAAGGAAGGGAGGGAGGGAGGGAGGAAGGGAGGGAGAGAGGGAAGGAGGGAGG